AATATAAATCCACGTCAATAACAAGGTGGTGAAATATAAACCACATCAATAACAGGGTGGTGAAATATAAACCCACATCAATAACAAGGTGGTGAAATATAAACCACATCAATAACAGGGTGGTGAAATATAAATCCACATCAATAACAAGGTGGTGAAATATAAACCCACATCAATAACAAGGTGGTGAAATATAAACCCACATCAATAACAAGGTGGTGAAGTTTATGTTTTGGACTTATTTTTCACCACCCTGCAATTGAGGTGAAATTATGTATTATCACACTAAAATTGAGATGGACAATCATTGGTCAACCTTGCCTTAGTCTAGTTAATACCATGTTCTGCTGCCCTGCATTGGTTAGGGTAGACACACATACCACATGGGGTAGGGAAATGTTTGATCCTAAAAATTGTACAGTGGTTCACTATTGCATTGTTAACACTAAGTTTTCTTCAATCAAATTGATCTTTATAAAAATATTTACCAGTATAACTCAAGTTATATGATACAATTTATAAAATTGATGATAAAAATATAAATAAATAATATTAGAATCTTTCCAGCACTTTAACATATCACAGATATACAAAGTCTCTTTAAACTCCGAGTTTCTGTCCTGTCTAATTTAGTGTTTCTGGCCTGTCTATTTCAGAGTTTCTGGCCTGTCTAATTCAGAGTTTCTGTCCTGTATTTTTCAGAGTTTCTGGCCTGTCTAATTCAGAGTTTCTGGTCTGTCTATTTCAGAGTTTCTGGCCTGTCTAATTCAGAGTTTCTGGCCTGTCTATTTCAGAGTTTCTGGCCTGTCTATTTCAGAGTTTCTGGTCTGTCTATTTCAAAGTTTCTGGCCTGTCTAATTCAGAGTTTCTGGCCTGTCTATTTCAGAGTTTCTGGCCTGTCTAATTCAGAGTTTCTGGCCTGTCTAATTCAGAGTTTCTGGCCTGTCTATTTCTGAGTTTCTGGTCTGTCTATTTCAAAGTTTCTGGCCTGTCTAATTCAGAGTTTCTGGCCTGTCTATTTCAGAGTTTCTGGTCTGTCTATTTCAGAGTTTCTGGCCTGTCTATTCCAGAGTTTCTGGCCTGTCTATTTCAGAGTTTCTGGCCTGTCTATTTCAGAGTTTCTGGTCTGTCTATTTCAGAGTTTCTGGGGTTTTCTCTAAAATGTCATCAATGTCGTTTATTAATTTGGAAGTTTTTAAAAGCGCTTGACGGACTGAATTGAAACCGTTGAAAATCTCAGCCTCTTTCTGATGACTAGACTGTTGGAGATTATACGCTGCACTGGAACAATTTCTTGTGGCGTAGGAACTATATTGTGATGGGTAGAGCGAATAACCACTATCACTATAAGCACCACCTAGTGTCAATTGATTGAAATTCTGGGGAAGATAACTAGAATAAGGAGCTGGTTGAAAAGAATCTAGAGAAGGTTTGGTAAGACTATCAGTTGATTGACTTGCTGTACCTGGAAGTTGGTTTAAAACTGTATTTTCTACTATATCTGATTGATAAATTAAGGTAAACAGAATTCAAGTTAAAGGCATTTTTGTGAGATTTTTCTAGCTTATGATGTATATCAGGAACTGTTTTTATTTATACCTCTGAAATTGACTAAAATTCTATGACTGAAGTCACACTGAGTTGAAAGTGACAAGTCTGCAAATCTTGAAGTGATATCAGGTACTGTTATAAAGGATACAGTTAAAACAGTTGATTTTCTTTAGTTCAGACTCCACACAACTGAAAAATAAAACAACCGCTAGTCAACCTGGATATTTCATCAATTTTTAAACAAGCTCCTATATTATCATATCTACTCTATCTCATTGAGAAATATAGACTATAATAAAACTTACAATGTCAATATAAGAAATATAGACTATAATAAAACTTACAATGTCAATATAAGAAATATAGACTATAATAAAACTTACAATGTTAATATAAGAAATATAGACTATAATAAAACTTACAATGTCAATATAAGAAATATAGACTATAATAAAACTTACAATGTCAATATAAGAAATATAGACTATAATAAAACTTACAATGTCAATATAAGAAATATAGACTATAATAAAACTTACAATGTCAATATAAGAAATATAGACTATAATAAAACTTACAATGTCAATATAAGAAATATAGACTATAATAAAACTTACAATGTCAATATAAGAAATATAGACTATAATAAAACTTACAATGTTAATATAAGAAATATAGACTATAATAAAACTTACAATGTCAATATAAGAAATATAGACTATAATAAAACTTACAATGTCAATATAAGAAATATAGACTATAATAATATAGACTATAATAAAACTTACAATGTCAATATAAGAAATATAGACTATAATAAAACTTACAATGTTAATATAAGAAATATAGACTATAATAAAACTTACAATGTTAATATAAGAAATATAGACTATAATAAAACTTACAATGTCAATATAAGAAATATAGACTATAATAAAACTTACAATGTTAATATAAGAAATATAGACTATAATAAAACTTACAATGGTTGAACAGCAGCTGTTGCCATGTTCTGATAAAATTTACCACGATCTTTTGGTAGAGAGTTCACCCACTTCGCCCATTCTTTAGCTGCGCTTATATACCTAAAATTATTAATCTGTCTGGAATAATCGATATATTGGTATGATATATTGCTATACAGGACATCAGTTGTCCTGATGAGGATTGTATATCTGAAATAAGTATCAAGGTATCTCTAAACATTAAGAAATGATTTACCTATCATATATTCCTGGTTTAGTAATATCTACTAGTATATACTGGCCATTAGGTAACAATAATCTACATGATTCACGTCCCATTAACTTGTCAAAACCTGTTACTCTCGGCATCATTTTCTCCTGAAAAATAAACTGAAAACCTAGTAACAGGCTGAGACACGGCATAAAATACTCCTCATAAAAACTCTGACTGAAGTTTTAATGATAAAGACAGGAAATTTTACATATCACAAACTGGACTAATTTGACAAATGTGAAAACGAACCTGAGGAGAGTGGTCTGGCTTGCCGTGTTGATGTAAACAGGAGTGAAGTCGCGTGGAGAAATCACAAACCATATCTAACGCAGTTCTATCTTCAAACACAATCCTGATTCTACCATTGGTGTATGCCATAAACTTCCCTCGACCTGGCACTGTACACTCTTCTAGAATCTCACAGGTTACACGTTCCAACCGTTTACTTTCTTCATGCTGTAAAAAAAACAAACCAGTTCTTTGAATCTTGCAAGCACCATCCATGGCCCTAACATCATATCAAAACTTATAAATAAAATTATAACTGTTTTATTTTCATCCTAAAGTCTGAGTCCTAGCTCTGAGTAAATAAAATCCCCCACTCACCCTCCAACAAGGTAGAGAACAATAAACCCTACTCACCCTCCAACAAGGTAGAGAACAATAAACCCCACTCACTCTTCAACAAGGTAGAGAACAATAAACCCTACTCACCCTCCAACAAGGTAGAGAACAATAAACCCCACTCACCCTCCAAACAAGGTAGAGAACAATAAACCCCTCTCACCCTTCAACAAGGTAGAGAACAATAAACCCTACTCACCCTCCAACAAGGTAGAGAACAATAAACCCTACTCACCCTCCAACCAGGTAGAGAACAATAAACCCTACTCACCCTCCAACAAGGTAGAGAACAATAAATCCCACTCACCCTCCAACAAGGTAGAGAACAATAAATCCCACTCACCCTCCAACAAGGTAGAGAACAATAAACCCTACTCACCCTCCAACAAGGTAGAGAACAATAAACCCTACTCACTCTCCAACAAGGTAGAGAACAATAAACCCTACTCACTCTCCGACAAGGTAGAGAACAATAAACCCTACTCACCCTTCAACAAGGTAGAGAACAATAAACCCTACTCACCCTTCAACAAGGTAGAGAACAATAAACCCTACTCACCCTCCAACAAGGTAGAGAACAATAAACCCTACTCACCCTTCAACAAGGTAGAGAACAATAAACCCTACTCACCCTCCAACAAGGCAGTTCCTCTCGTCGAGTATGTTTATCATTATCTACAGCCTCTTTTAGAAATCGTGAGCCCCGTTGAACTATTTTCTGTATGGAGTAGGTAGAGTTTGGTACTGGAGGTGGAAGGCTTTTTATTGAATAGGATCTCTCTTCCAGCTGAAAACAAACATTGGGTTTAATGAGATAAGGTGTTTGGTGAGACAAAGATATGTGTTTAATCTTATTATTGACAAATCCCTCTAGGTATATAATCTTTAAGGTATATCATTTTTAAATCCAGATCTACCTTGTTGTTTTTAAATCTAGACCTATCTTGTTGTTTTCAAATCTAGACCTATCTTGTTGTTTTTAAATCTAGACCTACCTTGTTTTTAAATCCAGATCTATCTTGTTGTTTTTAAATCTAGACCTACCTTGTTGTTTTTAAATCTAGACCTACCTTGTTGTTTTTAAATCTAGACCTACCTTGTTGTATTTAAATCTAGACCTACCTTGTTGTTTTTAAATCTAGACCTACCTTGTTGTTTTTAAATCTAGACCTATCTTGTTGTTTTTAAATCTAGACCTATCTTGTTGTTTTTAAATCTAGATCTATCTTGTTGTTTTTAAATCTAGACCTACCTTGTTGTTTTTAAATCTAGACCTATCTCGTTGTTTTTAAATCTAGATCTATCTTGTTGTTTTTAAATCTAGATCTATCTTGTTGTTTTTAAATCCAGACCTACTTTGTTGTTTTCAAATCTAGACCTATCTTGTTGTTTTTAAATCCAGACCTATCTTGTTGTTTTTAAATCTAGACCCACCTTGCTGTTTTTAAATCTAGACCTATCTTGTTGTTTTTAAATCCAGACCTATCTTGTTGTTTTTAAATCTAGACCCACCTTGCTGTTTTTAAATCCAGACCTATCTTGTTGTTTTTAAATCTAGACCTACCTTGTTGTTTTTAAATCTAGACCTATCTTGTTGTTTTTAAATCTAGACCTATCTTGTTGTTTTTAAATCTAGACCGACCTTGTTGTTTTTAAATCTAGACCGACCTTGTTGTTTTTAAATCCAGACCTATCTTGTTGTTTTTAAATCTAGACCTACCTTGTTGTTTTTAAATCCAGACCTATTTTGTTGTTTTTAAATCTAGACCCACCTTGTTGTTTTTAAATCTAGACCTATCTTGTTGTTTTTAAATCTAGACCTATCTTGTTGTTTTTAAATCTAGACCTACTTTGTTGTTTTCAAATCTAGACCTATCTTGTTGTATTTAAATCTAGACCTATCTTGTTGTTTTTAAATCCAGACCTATCTTGTTGTTTTTAAATCTACACCCATCTTGTTGTTTTTAAATCTAGACCTACCTTGCTGTTTTTAAATCTACACCCACCTTGTTGTTTTTAAATCTAGACCTACCTTGTTGTTTTTAAATCTACACCCATCTTGTTGTTTTTAAATCTAGACCTACCTTGTTGTATTTAAATCTAGACCTATCTTGTTGTTTTTAAATCCAGACCGACCTTGTTGTTTTTAAATCTAGACCTATCTTGTTGTTTTCAAATCTAGACCTATCTTGTTGTTTTTAAATCTAGATCTATCTTGTTGTTTTTAAATCTAGATCTATCTTGTTGTTTTTAAATCTAGACCTATCTTGTTGTTTTTAAATCTAGACCTATCTTGTTGTATTTAAATCTAGACCTATCTTGTTGTATTTAAATCTAGACCTATCTTGTTGTTTTTAAATCCAGACCTATCTTGTTGTTTTTAAATCTAGACCTACTTTGTTGTTTTCAAATCTAGACCTATCTTGTTGTATTTAAATCCAGACCTACCTTGTTGTTTTTAAATCTAGACCTATCTTGTTGTTTTTAAATCTAGACCTACCTTGTTGTTTTTAAATCTAGACCTACCTTGTTGTTTTTAAATCCAGACCGACCTTGTTGTTTTTAAATCTAGACCTATCTTGTTGTTTTTAAATCTAGACCTATCTTGTTGTTTTTAAATCTAGACCTATCTTGTTGTTTTTAAATCTAGACCTATCTTGTTGTTTTTAAATCTAGAACTTTCTTGTTGTTTTTAAATCTACACCCACCTTGCTGTTTTTAAATCTAGAACTTTCTTGTTTTTAAATCCAGACCTACCTTGTTGTTTTTAAATCTACACCCACCTTGTTGTTTTTAAATCTAGACCTACCTTGTTGTTTTTAAATCTACACCAACCTTGTTGTTTTTAAATCCAGATCTATCTTGTTGTTTTTAAATCTAGATCTATCTTGTTGTTTTTAAATCTAGACCTACCTTGTTGTTTTTAAATCCAGACCTACCTTGTTGTTTTTAAATCTACACCCACCTTGTTGTTTTTAAATCTAGACCTATCTTGTTGTATTTAAATCTAGACCTACCTTGTTGTTTTTAAATCTAGACCTACCTTGTTGTTTTTAAATCTAGACCTACCTTGTTGTTTTTAAATCCAGACCTACCTTGTTGTTTTTAAATCCAGACCTACCTTGTTGTTTTTAAATCTAGATCTACCTTCTTGTTTTTAAATCTAGACCTACCTTGTTGTTTTTAAAGAGAAGATGTTGATAAAATTGTCCCGAGACACCATGAGAATAAATAACACTTCCATCTCCTGGAAACATTTCTACTGTAGTCATTGAGGGCAGGTAAACTAATCTGTAATATAATAATTATAATCAAACTTTCATCCTCTAGGTATCCTCTAGGTTGGCTTACTGATAGCTTTACTATAACCCATTACATCCTCTAGGTTGGCTTCCTGATAGCTTTACTATAACCCTTTACATCCTCTAGGTTGGCTTACTGATAGCTTTACTATAACCCTTTACATCCTCTAGGTTGACTTACTGGTAGCTTTACTATAACCCTTTACATCCTCTAGTTTGGCTTACTGATAGCTTTACTATAACCCTTTACATCCTCTAGGTTGGCTTACTGACAGCTTTTCTATAACCCTTAATATCCTCTAGGTTGGCTTATTGATAGTTTTACTATAACCCTTTACATCCTCTAGGTTGGCTTACTGATAGTTTTACTATAACCCTTTACATCCTCCATGGTTGGGTTACTGATAGCTTTACTATAACCCTTTACATCCTCTAGGTTGGCTTACTGATAGCTTTACTATAACCCTTTACATCCTCTAGGTTGGCTTACTGATAGCTTTGCTATAACCCTTAATATCCTCTAGGTTGGCTTACTGATAGCTTTACTATAACCCTTTACATCCTCTAGGTTGGTTTATATTCTAGGTTGGCTTACTGATAGTTTTACTATAGCCCTTAATATCCTCTAGGTTGGCTTACTGATAGCTTTACTATAACCCTTCACATCCTCTAGGTTGGCTTACTGATAGCTTTACTATAACCCTTTGCATCCTCTAGGTTGGCTTACTGATAGCTTTACTATAACGCTTAATATCCTCTAGGTTGGCTTACTGGTAGCTTTACTATAACCCTTTACATCCTCTAGGTTGGCTTACTGATAGCTTTACTATAACCCTTTACATCCTCTAGGTTGGCTTACTGATAGCTTTACTATAACCCTTTACATCCTCTAGGTTGACTTAATGATAAATTTACTATAACCCTTTACATCCTCTAGGTTGGCTTACTGATAGCTTTACTATAACCCTTTACATCCTCTAGGTTGACTTAATGATAAATTTACTATAACCCTTTACATCCTCTAGGTTGGCTTACTGATAGCTTTACTATAACGCTTAATATCCTCTAGGTTGGCTTACTGGTAGCTTTACTATAACCCTTTACATCCTCTAGGTTGGCTTACTGATAGCTTTACTATAACCCTTTACATCCTCTAGGTTGACTTAATGATAAATTTACTATAACCCTTTACATCCTCTAGGTTGGCTTACTGATAGCTTTACTATAACCCTTTACATCCTCTAGGTTGGCTTACTGATAGTTTTACTATAACCCTTTACATCCTCTAGGTTGGCTTACTGATAGCTTTACTATAACCCTTTACATCCTCTAGGTTGGCTTACTGATAGCTTTTCTATAACCCTTAATATCCTCAAGGTTGGCTTACTGATAGTTTTACTATAACCCTTTACATCCTCTAGGTTGGCTTACTGATAGTTAGCTTTACTACTTTACTGATACTATAAGAAAATAAAATTTCCTACCTAAAAATAACTCCATCAGCCATCACCATCCCTATTCTCCCTGACTGAAAATATTCTTCTTGACCAGTTGACCACCGGTGAAGATGTTGATAGGGACAGGTCAAAGGTTGTGGCAGTGGCAGACAACTCTTTACTACATCCTTGTCATCTAATTTCAAGATGGGTTGTGTTTTTTTATTTAAGCTGTTCAGAACTGAAATAAACAACAAATCAATCTCAATGTACGATGAAAATCTCAAAGACAGCTGAATTACTTAGATCTAACCTCTTGTTTACAGAATTCATTTTACTATTTTAATTACAGGTTCCCATTGTAACTGAGTCATTTGACACAAAAAGATCATTTGGGGTAGGGACATCTGATAGGAATATTCACCGATTATAAACTACTTACCTTTTGGATTTTCAAGCACCTGATTGGCCAGTTTTAATGGATGACTCCAGATGATTGGACACTGACTGGTAGAATAATGTCTCGTAACCCAGGTATAATAGTACCGCACTGAACTCTCTTCTTTATTTTGATTGGATGAATTACTATCAGAACTATTATGGGATGTAAAGGGGTCTGATGACTGTTTGTTTGGTAAACGACAATGTTCTCCAGGAACTAGACTTATATCTACTGTTTCTATAGTACCGTTCAGACCTTCTGAAGATATTCTACTAATACTAGACAACTCATGAAGATTGTTGATAGGTGAATTATCCTGGTTTGATTTAAAAATAGCCGTTGGTCCATATGGCGTCACTATAGGGGTTTCATTAATTGATACTGTTTTATGTTTAGTTGGTGTTGAGACACGCTGAGTATAAACAGGGTCAATTTTAAACTCCGGAGAGCTGCCATTGTCTAATAATGTCAAATCTATATTTGGGGGTGTGGAAGATCGGTGGATGGCATCGTTCTGTTGCTGGAAGCTCTGGACACCTGAAACACTGAAATCAGTTTTTGCTCGAACTAATTTTGGTGAGGTTTTGTCTTTGTGTTTTTTGGGATCCTCGCTAATCTTAGAAAGATAACAAACTGTAAAATCGCGACCGTGTGCTGATAAAACAAGACTAGCGAACTCGTCAACTGACATCAATCTTATACTTCCATCAGGTAATATCTCATATTTCCCTGATTCTAACGTTATATTCCATTTTACTTCTCTTATATTGTTATATAAACCCTGAAATACATAAAATACAGATAGTGAAGAGATCGAGCCAGCATGAATTTCTCCATTAATAGCTTGAAAACAAACCAAAATATCCAAAATTGCATTTCTGTTATGTGTTAGTATTGATTTCAGAATTCTGAATTCAGAATAGGGGTTGTTTGTTTGTTTCAATACTAATCAAGACCTAGTGTTCTTTATACAATAAACATGTATGTGACTCAAGACACAGTAGGCCTGGTGATCCCTGAACCAAACATTTTGAAGTTGCAAGTCAGACATGACTGGTATTTACAGTCAAATCAACAATCAAACAATATAGAGTCCTGGATAGAAGAATTGAAATAGTTAGTATACAATAAAAATAGTTCTTGATGCTTACCGTAATCTCTGATTTGGGAATCAATTCTCGACATAAATAGGGTCGTTCTGAAAATCTATTCCTGAAATCTAGTGCTTGTAAAACTTTCTGTTTATTATTACTGGTGACAAATCTCACTCTCTGCTGAACTCTAGTCACTCCTAAAAATATCAACAAATATTAGTTCAAATTCTTACATGAAATAAGGTAGAAAGGAAAGGGTTTCAGTCAACCAGTGTAAGTCTCACTTAGATATCAGATGATTAACCCTGGGAACTCGAATCAAAATAACTCTAAGTTTCTACTGTATAAGATATCAGATGTGAGTCAGAAAGAGTTGAACTGGTCATCATCTACGAATAACAGGCTTAACAAGATATTTGTCAAATCAGTCTCTAGAACTCAAAAAAATACTAAACACTAAAACTGTGGCAAGTTTCAGGCCATCATTACTCTCTTCTATGATAAACTGGTACCTACCATAGACAGGATGGGAGCCAGAGTCAGGATTGTCAAAATGAATCAAGGTGGAGCCACATGGTGACAGTTGTAATCGGGTTTTATCTGTGTAACGTATCTCTACACTGTCGTTAGAATATAGTACCATCAACGCAGGAACAGACGTCATCTTAATATTTTATACAGGAAATAGCTACTTCAACTGAAAATAGACAGAAATGTAATTCTTTAGATCTGACATTACTGCTTGTAGAATTCCAAGATCTTAAAATTTGATCTATAGAAAATATAAAAAGCTGCCATATTACTTTATTTTTACTTTCAGACGACACTTGTGTACCACAGTCTGTTCTGCCACTGTACAATGAACTACGTCTACAAGCTTATAAAGGTATCCGTCACAGGCCCTTGAAGTTCTGTCAATATTAATAAAATAAGTCCAAGTCATAGCTCAATCAATCCGACGATTTTTGTTGCTAGTGCCTGAGTTGGCCACCTACAGGGTGAACAGGGTTATACAAGTGGACAGCTAGATCAATTTTATTTACAACTCTAGCCTGGACAATGTCATAGTAGCAAGTACTTTAATAAGTAGGTCAAGTGAATGTTAAACAAAGATGGCTTGGTCTGCAAATTAAACGCACCATAACAAATGTAAACATTACAAGTTTGTATCTGGTTTATCGATGTTTTCCTCTTCCCGTCGTTTATCGAATCTGATATGGGTTTTCAACACCGGTCAAACGTCATTAGAAACAACTCATGGATGATAACAAAAAAAAAATTCCTCACCAAGCAGACGAAAAATGCGCCATCTTCTTTCCTTTATCTTTCATTGAACAAGTTTCAACATGACTGACCAATCACAAACAGCGTTGTTAAAGGGACGTAATTCTTCTCAATCAAGTAAAAAAAAAAAGGGAGTTTCCTCCCTTGATTCTCTCCACGGCAATGAGTTTATTAATAAATAAATGGCTTTGCTTATCCCACAGCTGTCTGTATTAAAGAGTTAATGTAGACTATTTTCAAAGTTTTGCTTTCCCCTTCGTTAGCCTGTGAAAGACATTGCTGTGAGATTTGCCAATAATCAGTTGATAATATGTGATTGAAACCAGATTGAAACTTCAAATAACCCTGTATATTCTTTTATTTGTACTTAATCACTAGACCAACTTGGGGTAAAACTGGAGAAGAAATCAATGTTCTTCATGGATTTTTTGATGAGTTGTAAAATATGGAATGTAACTCCAGGCTTTACCAAGAAAAGTAGAAAAAAAACAACACAAAATACTGACACAGGGTTTTATCTTTTGATATATTAATAGTTTTAGAAACAATATTTATAAATTACAGTATTTACAGGGGTAATTCAAAATGAATATGTATTCCATCTTTCCGAGCTGTTTTCACCATTTTTGATACAGTGACTGCCTGAAAGATAGATCAATTCAAAGAATTACAGACTATATTCCAGTGGAGCCTGACAACATTCATCTTTGATTAGAATTCAGTTTAACTGGATACGGACTGAGATAGAATATAGGTTAAACTAAAATCCTTACTTTCAATCTTGGCTAGGGAGAGCCCACTACTATCGTGGTACCAGAAAACACCACAACACCATGGGGTAGGGACCAGAAAACACCACCACACCCTGGGGTAGGGAGCAGAAAACACCAACCACACCCTGGGGTAGGGAGCAGAAAACACCACAACACCATGGGGTAGGGACCAGAAAACACCACCACACCCTGGGGTAGGGACCAGAAAACACCAACCACACCCTGGGGTAGGGAGCAGAAAACACCACCACACTCTGGGGTAGGGACCAGAAAACACCACCACACCATGGGGTAGGGACCACAAAACACCATCACACCCTGGGGTAGGGACCAGAAAACACCACAACACCCTGGGGTAGGGACCACAAAACACCACCACACCATGGGGTAGGGACCAGAAAACACCACCACACATGGGTAGGGACCAGAAAACACCACCACACCATGGGGTAGGGACCAGAAAACACCACAACACCCTGGGGTAGGGCCTACTAGTATTGGGGTACCCTACCCACAAGTGAACCAACCCACAAGTGAACCAACCCACAAGTGAACCTACCCACAAGTGAACCAACCCACAAGTGAACCTACCCACATGTGAACCAACCCACAAGTGAACCTACCCATGAGTGAAACTACCAACAAGTGAACAATCCACGATTAAACCTACCCACAAGTGAACCTACCAACAGTTAACCAACCCATGAGTGAACCCACCCACGAGTGAACCTACCCATGAGTGAACCTACCCGCTTGGCTGCTTCTTCTAAATCATCACAGTGTAAAATTTTTAAATTACTGGCTGCTATCAGGGCCTTGGCATCATCTACTCTAGTTCCTGAAAATAAACAACAATTCTACAGTGTTGAATGAGTTCCTGAAAATAAACAACAATTCTACAGTGTTGAATGAGTTCCTGAAAATAAACAACAATTCTACAGTGTTGAATGAGTTCCTGAAAATAAACAACAATTCTACAGTGTTGAATGAGTTCCTGAAAATAAACAACTATTCTACAGTGTTGAATGAGTTCCTGAAAATAAACAACAATTCTACAGTGTTGAATGAGTTCCTGAAAATAAACAACAATTCTACAGTGTTGAATGAGTTCCTGAAAATAAACAACTATTCTACAGTGTTGAATGAGTTCCTGAAAATAAACAACAATTCTACAGTGTTGAATGAGTTCCTGAAAATAAACAACTATTCTACAGTGTTGAATGAGTTCCTGAAAATAAACAACAATTCTATAGTGTTGAATGAGTTCCTGAAAATAAACAACAATTCTATAGTGTTGAATGAGTTCCTGAAAATAAACAACAATTCTACAGTGTTGAATGAGTTCCTGAAAATAAACAACTATTCTACAGTGTTGAATGAGTTCCTGAAAATAAACAACTATTCTACAGTGTTGAATGAGGGGAAACGGAGTATTAACAATTTACAATCTTTCAACAATGAAGGAAGATTGATTCATCAAATAGAAGGAATAGAGTGATACCTTGTAGCCGAGCTATAATAGTTCGGTTTAAGTCAAGTTCTTCAGCAGCCTGAATAATTCCCTGAGCTATAACATCACATCTCATAATTCCACCGAAAATATTCACTAAAATTGCATCCACCTATAAATAAAATAGAAATATAAAGTGTTGTAACAGCTAAAAAAAAACACAAGGATTCAAGTATTTTCTAATCTGAAGTTAAATTTGAACTTTGAAAGTAATTTCATGTTTTTTAACTCACATTTGGGTCAGAGGTGATGAGACTAAAAGCTTCTTTAACTTGATCTGACGTGGCCCCGCCTCCGACATCCAGAAAATTGGCAGGGTTTCCTCCGTGTAGTTTTATTATATCCATTGTTGCCATGGCTAAACCAGCGCCATTTACTGAAAATATCAATCAGGTCATTTTACTTGTATAATAACAATAATAATATAACTCTAAACACAACTAGAATTACAATCTCAAAACATTCATTAATTATACTGAAAACAACCCATGTTACCATCTAAACCAATATAATATAGTTACCTAGACAACCAATGTTACCATCTAAACCAATATAATATAGTTACCTAGACAACCAATGTTACCATCTAAACCAATATAATATAGTTACCTAGACAACCAATGTTACCATCTAAACCAGTATAATATAGTTACCTAGACAACCAATGTTACCATCTAAACCAGTATAATATAGTTACCTAGACAACCAATGTTACCATCTAAACCAATATAATATAGTTACCTAGACAACCAATGTTACCATCTAAACCAGTATAATATAGTTACCTAGACAACCAATGTTACCATCTAAACCAGTATAATATAGTTACCTAGACAACCAATGTTACCATCTAAACCAATATAATATAGTTACCTAGACAACCAATGTTACCATCTAAACCAGTATAATATAGTTACCTAGACAACCAATGTTACCATCTAAACCAATATAATATAGTTACCTAGACAACCAATGTTACCATCTAAACCAGTATAATATAGTTACATAGACAACCCATGTTACCATCTAAACCAATATAATATAATTACCTAGACAAACAATGTTACCATCTAAACCAATATAATATAGTTACCTAGACAACCAATGTTACCATCTAAACCAGTATAATATAGTTACCTAGACAATCAATGTTACCATCTAAACCAATATACTATAGTTACCTAGACAACCAATGTTACCATCTAAACCAGTATAATATAGTTACCTAGACAACCAATGTTACCATCTAAACCAGTATAATATAGTTACCTAGACAACCAATGTTACCATCTAAACCAGTATAATATAGTTACCTAGACAACCAATGTTACCATCTAAACCAGTATAATATAGTTACCTAGACAACCAATGTTACCATCTAAACCAATATAATATAGTTACCTAGACAACCAATGTTACTATCTAAACCAATATACTATAGTTACCTAGACAACCAATGTTACCATCTAAACCAGTATACTATAGTTACCTAGACAACCAATGTTACCATCTAAACCAGTATAATATAGTTAGCTAGACAATCAATGTTACCATCTAAACCAGTATAATATAGTTACCTAGACAACCAATGTTACCATCTAAACCAGTATAATATAGTTACCTAGACAACCAATGTTACCATCTAAACCAATATAATTCAAATCGGCCTCAGCAGCCTGTTTATCTCGTGGATCCTCTTGAGTCCAATCTTTCATATCAAATATTTTCTTCTGTCTGTAGAAAGCATTGTCATCGAAATTCAATTTACAATCCATACAATAAACTGCAAGAGAAGATATTTTTAATATTACACTAGAATATCTTGTTAAAATTCCGGGTTTTGTTTTGCAGTTCTGATTGTGAGTACTGTGAGTACTTGTTTTATTTATTTACTATATAATTGTTAGGGTTAGGGTTGTCCAAGATATCACTAAAAATATCATATAAACATTCAAAATTTTCTCACCATTTCCATTGGCATCTTCTGACATGGGGTTAATCTCTAACATTGTGGAATCACACTTTAAAAACACATCAGTATATAACTTTAACATAATCTCAGCTGCCTGTAAATATTAATTCACACATACAATCTAACTCTTACCCAGTCTAATCTAAACTATCTAACTCTTACCCAGTCTAATCTAAACTATCTAACTCTTACCCAGTCTAATCTAAACTATCTAACTCTTACCCAGCCCAGTCTAAACTATCTAACTGTTACCCAGCCAAGTCTAAACTATCTAACTCTTACCCAGTCCAGTCTAAACTATCTAACTCTTACCCAGTCTAATCTGAACTATCTAACTCTTACCCAGTCCAGTCTAAACTATCTAACTCTTACCCAGTCTAATCTAAACTATCTAACTCTTACCCAGCCCAGTCTAAACTATCTAACTCTTACCCAGCCCAGTCTAAACTATCTAACTCTTACCCAGTCCAGTCTAAACTATCTAACTCTTACCCAGTCAAGTCTAAACTATCTAACTCTTACCCAGTCCAGTCTAAACTATCTAACTCTTACCCAGTCCAGTCTAAACTATCTAACTGTTACCCAGTCTAGTCTAAACTATCTAACTCTTACCCAGTCCAGTCTAAACTATCTAACTCTTACCCAGTCTAGTCTAAACTATCTAACTCTTACCCAGTCTAGTCTAAACTATCTAGCTCTTACCCAGTCCAGTCTAAACTATCTAACTCTTACCCAGTCCAGTCTAAACTATCTAACTCTTACCCAGTACAGTCTAAACTATCTAACTGTTACCCAGACTAGTCTAAACTATCTAACTCTTACCCAGTCCAGTCTAAACTATCTAACTCTTACCCAGTCCAGTCTAAACTATCTAACTGTTACCCAGTCTAGTCTAAACTATCTAACTCTTACCCAGTCCAGTCTAAACTATCTAACTCTTACCCAGTCTAGTCTAAACTATCTAACTCTTACCCAGTCTAGTCTAAACTATCTAGCTCTTACCCAGTCCAGTCTAAACTATCTAACTCTTACGCAGTCTAGTCTAAACTATCTAACTCTTACCCAGTCCAGTCTAAACTATCTAACTGTTACCCAGTCTAGTCTAAACTATCTAACTCTTACCCAGTCCAGTCTAAACTATCTAACTCTTACCCAGTCCAGTCTAAACTATCTAACTCTTACCCAGTCCAGTCTAAACTATCTAACTCTTACCCAGTCCAGTGTAAAATATGTAACTCTTACCCAGCCCAGTCTTAACTATCTTACTGTTACCCAGTCTAGTCTTAACTATCTAACTGTTACCCAGTCTAGTCTAAACTATCTAACTCTTACCCAGTCTAGTCTAAACTATCTAACTCTTACCCAGTCTAGTCTAAACTATCTAACTGTTACCCAGTCTAGTCTAAACTATCTAACTCTTACCCAGTCTAGTCTAAACTATCTAACTCTTACCCAGTCTAGTCTAAACTATCCAACTCTTACCCAGTCTAATCGAAACTATTTTCAGTAATATTACTGTCGAGAATCGAGACGACAGGGTTACAGATTGTCATCATTATTAGAAGTTTTCTTACCTGATCAATACAGTTATCACTGAATCCCATTTCTTTAGCTAGGAATATAGCTTGGTCTTTATGGATACCTCTTGTGATATCTACCGGTTCTTTGACAATAGCTGTTGGGTTTTCTTGTGCTACTTCTTCTATATTAACACCACCCTGGGAACTCCCTACTAACACTGGTCCCTAAAACATAAATATATAGTTGAACCTCACTGTACTGGTCTTTGGACAATGGGGGAAACTTTGTCTGTATGTATAGATACTATAAATAGACTGTGTACTAACATGATAACTGCGTTCCATGGCGATAGCGAAATAAAACTCTCTTCTGGGATATAACCTTTCAACTACCATGACCTCATTACAGATTCTACCCTCGGCACCTGTTTGTTTCGTGTGTAATTTATGTCCTAACATTTTCCCCGAGATTTCTTTAGCTTCCTCATCACTGAAAATACAAAAAAAAGACTTAAAATTTAAAACATCTTTACATATTTGTACAAAGCCAGAAAAGATTACACAGTATTTATTGTAGAAAATTTACATCAGATGGTAAGATGAAGTCAGGTATCATAAATGACCTGTTAAAAATATTAGTCATCATTGTTATTATCATATCAATATGAAAACAAAACAAAAACGATAACTGATATATTTCAATTAAAATTAGATATCACTCACTTGAAGACAAGTTTTACACCACCCTTTAATCCACTATCCCAGGATCCTTTACCTCGACCTCCCGCCAAAACTTGTGCTTTTAGAACTACATCTGGCGTTTTTGATAATTTTGCTGAAAGAGAAATATAACCACATTAAAAATAGATTTATGTAATATAACCACATTAAATATAGATCTATGAAATATAACCACATTAAATATAGATCTATGAAATATAACCACATTAAATATAGATCTATGAAATATAACCACATTAAATATAGATCTATGAAATATAACCACATTAAATATAGATTTATGTAATATAACCACATTAAATATAGATCTATGAAATATAACCACATTAAATATAGATTTATGAAATATAACCACATTAAATATAGATCTATGAAATATAACCACATTAAATATAGATCTATGAAATATAACCACATTAAATATAGATCTATGAAATATAACCACATTAAATATAGATCTATGAAATATAACCACAAAATTCAACAATTTTCGAAGGATATAACACACAAGTGTAATATATATTATATACCTAATTCTTTAGCATAGTCTTGAACTTGACCAGGAGAACTGGCTACTCGGTAACGAGGAATAGAAACTCCAGCCTCAGACAACAAACCAAAACCAAGATGTTCATGAATTGAAAGATTTCTCTGAGAGGGATTGGATGTTGCACCTAGAATCTGAAAAAAATAACAGAATAAATCACAATCAATGGCAATGATTTTTATTCTGCAAACATACAACCAAAAATAATTTTCAACTTCAACCTTATTTCAACTTCAACCAAACTTATTTCAAACTTCAACCAAACTTATTTCAACTTCAACCAAATCTATTTCAAATTTCAACCAAAACTATTTTCAACGAATCTGGACATCAAGAAACTCTGTCTGAAGAAGTTTATCATATTAAAACTGTATGTAAGATAACCTAATATATATACCGGTAGTTATATTCGTGTTTTTTTTAATCTAATTGAGCTGCACTAGGTAATTACTTTTATCTGTTCTACCAGTTCTTGATGATTCAAGTCATAGGGGCCTTTGCACAATGACCAATACAAAAATTACATGAATATCAATCAAATTCATAACTTACAACCAAGTAAACGTGTCTTAAAATTAACCAAATTTACTAAAAACAACTATAAGATTTGAACGACATAGAAGCGAGGAGCACATATAACAAAAACACAAGACAATATTATGGAATATAACACACTTCTTTAATAAGGTTGGGCACAGAACGTTTCAACACAATATACACATGTCGTCATCAGATGTAGGGGCAAGAGAATGAAACATAACAAAATATATACCAACAAGAAACAATATAGAGATTAAGAGGGACAATAGATAAAAGGGGGAAATAACAAGTGATTAAGAGAGACAATAGATAAAAGGCCAAAGGGTATAAACAATGCGAAGTCACCAGCCTCACGTCATCCTTTGTGAAATAGTTAATCAATCCAACACCAAAGTTGGTTTTTTTTTTAAATAGTGAATGGATAAATTTATTTAAAAAATCAAAGCAATTCCATAAATGTGTCGTGTTTCATTAAATAGAGATTTATTGCAAAACAAAAACTACCTCTGACACCGTTTGCTACACAACAACAAACCAAGTTCATACGAATGTCAAAAAGTCAAACAAAAACGGTTGAAAATTAAATTGTCTCTCTCTTGCAACGATTTTTATTTCAATGCATTGGATAGAACACATCAAAATCATCAAAACCGCGAAGTGCAAATGAAAATCTCACCCTAGATGCATTTTGAATTAGTAATTTGTCTGCTTGTCGACCACTTCGAAACAAAACGGACGCCATTTTGATGGTCTGTTAGCTTCCGGTCTAAGAAGAGTTACGTCCCTTCGATCTGATTTTAAAGCGCCAGACCACAGTCATTGACTACAGTAACTACTGAAAAATTGGCGCAGGATATGTAACGGCAGCCGTAGTCGAAAAAAAAAATTCTAATTACAATCTAAACAAGTCAATGAATAGCATTCTTTACCGGCATAGACCACCAGAATAAGTGTTTAATGCGCATGCTCTAAAGTAACAATAGTCACTTTCAAAGCAGTAATTTTAACAAATTCAGTAATGTTTTTAAATAAAAAAAAATGAATCGCGTCTATCTCGTAGACCAGGTTAACACAAGAAGAATAAATTGAAGTGGAGTTTTACGTTCTATTTTTCTGCACCATGTGGGCTAATGAAGACAGGCAACGCCATACTTGGTAAAATGAGGGACATTTTGCCAGGAAAGCGTCATCAGCCTGCTCTTTTTTTATTTGCAACTGTCGAGGTATCTTTATTCCTTAACTTGCACAGCCTGAAGCTCGCGAGGCCTCAGTTTATTGTCCCATCCGAACAACTAGGCGCAGACTAGTGTAAAGCCAGGGTTAAATTATTGAATACAGACTAGTGTAAAGCCAGAGTTAAACTAGAGTATACAGACTAGTGTAAAGCCAGAGTTAAACTATTGAATACAGACTAGTGTAAAGCCAGAGTTAAACTATTGAATACAGACTAGTGTAAAGCCAGAGTTAAACTAGAGTATACAGACTAGTGTAAAGCCAGGGTTAAATTATTGAATACAGACTAGTGTAAAGCCAGAGTTAAACTAGAGTATACAGACTAGTGTAAAGCCAGAGTTAAACTAGAGTATACAGACTAGTGTAAAGCCAGACTTAAACTAGAGTATACAGACTAGTGTAAAGCCAAGGTTAAACTAGAGTATACAGACTAGTGTAAAGTCAGGGTTAAACTATTGAATACAGACTAGTGTAAGGCCAGGGTTAAACTAGAGTATACAGACTAGTGTAAAGCCAGAGTTAAACTAGAGTATACAGACTAGTGTAAAGCCAAGGTTAAACTAGAGTATACAGACTAGTGTAAAGCCAAGATTAAACTAGAGTATACAGACTAGTGTAAAGCCAAGATTAAACTAGAGTATACAGACTAGTGTAAAGCCAAGGTTAAACTAGAGTATACAGACTAGTGTAAAGCCAAGATTAAACTAGAGTATACAGACTAGTGTAAAGTCAGGGTTAAACTATTGAATAGAGACTAGTGTAAGGCCAGGGTTAAACTAGAGTATACAGACTAGTGTAAAGCCAGGCTTAAACTAGAATATACAGACTAGTGTAAAGCCAGGGTTAAACTAGAGTATACAGACTAGTGTAAAGTCAGAGTTATGTATATTGTATTAAGTATATTTACCATAATATACCCCTTGTGTTTTTTGTTATAACAGTAAGTATATTTACCATAATATACCCCTTGTGTTTTTTGTTATAACAGTAAGTATATTTACCATAATATACCCCTTGTGTTTTTTGTTATAACAGTAAGTATATTTACCATAATATACCCCTTGTGTTTTTTGTTATAACAGTAAATATATTTACCATAATATACCCCTTGTGTTTTTTGTTATAACAGTAAATATATTTACCATAATATACCCCTTGTGTTTTTTGTTATAACAGTAAATATATTTCTAGATTATTTATTTTCTAATAATGATAAATAACACAGCACATATGATATTGATATATACAAATTAAATATTAAATCAACAATATCCTGGTGATAGATAAAAACTGTATTAACTCATATTAAACTTGTTTTTTTTTATAATAAAATATGGTGGGTATTGGATTGATTCTAGTTTTCTAGAAGAACAATAACAGTTTATATGACGAAACCCTATTAATTAATATTGAATAGACATTACTATTAAGTCATTGAGATTCGGACATGAAAATCTTGTATCCACTCAGATACTGCGAATACCGAAGCGGTTTAATGGACGGTTATATTAGCCCACCATTTTCACAAATCAAGCAGTTGCAAGGTTGACAGCAATTTACTTTCCCAGGTGACAATAAACCTCATGAATTGCGTGCCAAATTTATCAACAGTCTAATATTCTATCTGTAATATTTTCTGAATTTTAATTTCAAATAACTGCCACGAGTTCACTGAAATAGAAATTTGTTAGTCAATAAATATCTAATACAACCTAAGTTAATATTTTTACACCCCCTGAACCCTGAACCTTGGATTTTATTATATTTTAGACCGGGTCAATACAAGTAATCCCAACCCACAATCTTGTCGTGAATATTACTAGAGTATAGCTATATATATATATATACTAGACAGGGCCAATACAAGTAATCCCAACCCACAATCTTCTCGTGAATATTACTAGAGTATAGCTATATATATATCTACTAGAAAGGGTCAATACAAGAATCCCAACACACAATCTTGTCGTGAATATTACTAGAGTATAGCTATATATATATCTACTAGACAGGATCAATACAAGTAAACCCAACCCACAATCTTGTCGTGAATATTACTAGAGTATAGCTATATATATATCTACTACAAAGGGTCAATACAAGTAATCCCAACCCACAATCTTGTCGTGAATATTACTAGAGTATAGCTATATATATATCTACTAGAAAGGGTCAATACAAGTATTCCCAACCCACAATCTTGTCGTGAATATTACTAGAGTATAGCTATATATATATCTACTAGACAGGGTCAATACAAGTAATCCCAACCCACAATCTTGTCGTGAATATTACTAGAGTATAGCTATATATATATCTACTAGACAGGGTCAATATAAGTTATCCCAACCCACAATCTTGTCGTGAATATTACTAGAGTATAGCTATATATATATCTACTATACAGGATCAATATAAGTAAACCCAACCCACAATCTTGTCGTGAATATTACTAGAGTATAGCTATATATATATCTACTATACAGGATCAATACAAGTAATCCCAACCCACAATCTTGTCGTGAATATTACTAGAGTATAGCTATATATATATCTACTATACAGGATCAATACAAGTAAACCCAACCCACAATCTTGTCGTGAATATTACTAGAGTATAGCTATATATATATCTACTATACAGGATCAATACAAGTAATCCCAACCCACAATCTTGTCGTGAATATTACTAGAGTATAGCTATATATATATCTACTAGAAAGGGTCAATACAAGTAATCCCAACCCACAATCTTGTCGTGAATATTACTAGAGTATAGCTATCTATATATCTACTAGACAGGGTCAATACAAGTAATCCCAAACCCACAATCTTGTTCAGAAATCGTTGTCTGACCTGAAATCAATCTCGCCATCACCATCTTCATCCAGTTTTTTAATCAGTAATTCTAGTTGTAGAGGTGACAGGGTCACGCCCGAGTCCTACAATATAAATATTTCTTATTCTGTTAAACAATATCACAGAGTGACATCAGGTGTTCTAGTTTTACGAGGCACCTCAATTCTAAACCCGATCAGGTACAGTAATATCTACCCACCTTCAAACCTTGTTCAAATTCTTCATAACTAACACTCTGACTCCCGTCCGAATCAAATTTCCTGAACATTTCAATGACACTGACACTCTGTTTCCGGACAAACTGCTGGATAATAGTTACAGCATCGTCTCCGGCATCGTACGATACCATCTTGCGTTTTCCGTAAGAGTCTGTATATCCATGGATGACCTCCAGATCATTGTGGATGTCTTTAAGTTCTGTTTGTTTTGGGATGAAAGATTTTCTGAGCATCACATCCTGAAATATGATATAAAAACAAGAGGGAGAAAAATTTATTGATATAAAAACAAGAGAGAGAAATCAACCGATATAAAAACAAGAAAGAGAAATAAACTGAAATAAAAACAAGAAAGGGAAATTAATTGATATAAAAACAAGACAGAGAAATCAATTGATATAAAAACAAGACAGAGAAATCAATTGATATAAAAACAAGACAGAGAAATCAATTGATATAAAAACAAGACAGAGAAATCAACTGATAAAAACACAATAGAGAAAAATCAATTGATATAAAAACAGGACAGAGAAATCAACTGATAAAAACACAATAGAGAAAAATCAATTGATATAAAAACAATGCAGAAAAATCAATTGATATAAAAACAATAGAGAGAAATCAATTGATATAAAAACAAGACAGAGAAATCAATTGATATAAAAATAATAGAGAGAAATCAATTGATATAAAAACAAGACAGAGAAATCAATTGATATAAAAACAGTAGAGAAAAATCAATTGATATAAAAACAAGGCAGAGAAAAGTCAATTGATATAAAAACAAGACAGAGAAATCAGTCGATATAAAAACAAGACAGAGAAATCAATTGATATATAAATTTCAACCTCCATAATAAAATACAATTCAATGGTTTATAGTATATTGGATATTCTTTGAAAAGTTAAAACTCTGTCAATAGTTCTGATAGAGAGACAGAAGAAATAACTCACCGACATGTCGAGTGTATTCAATCTGAGAGAATTTAAACTGAGAAATAAATCTACCGCTGCTTCAGCCGCCTCGTCTGGTATGTTATTCTTTCCTATCTACAATCAGACGATACAAATTATGATAGTCTTATTTTCAGCAGAAACCTTGATAATACTCGTATTTCTTGTTGCTGACCATTTTTAACTAAACGCAACCCAATCTTATCCAAACCACCCTCTGCTTTCTGTATATCATAACATAAACACCAACCCTGGTCATGGTCCCATACCTACCCTCAATATATCCAGAGTGTCGTTATGTTTGAAGGACCGAACCAGAGCAAGGAATCCTTCAGGACCAATTCTATTACAAGATAAATCTAGAGAACTCAGGACAGTATTAGTCTCCAAACTTTTACCAACTGCTGCTGCTCCGTCATCTTCAAATCCATTCCACGACAGATTCAATTCTTTAATACACACATTTTCCTGAAAAATTGACAGAGCAGACCTTACAGCACACTCTTTATACCAATTTAGAGTACCCTAAATTACAGAGCAGACCCTAGAAAACAATCCATGATGATTTGACCACCAGTCCCCTCCATACAAGTCTATATTTAGAAACATACCGCTAGACCTTCAGCTATACATACTCCAGCTCCTCGTACAAAATGATTCCAACTTAGATCTAATTGTTGCAGACAGCTGTTCTCCGCTGAAATTTAAAATCTTGGTTTTAACTATTTTCTATCCTAACCCTATAACAGCTAGCAAGTCTTCCTACCCCGTATTAACAAATAAAGAAATTAAAAACTGTGTTTAGTGGTGCTAGAAGTCACTCTCTGTCAGGAAATTACTAATCTGCTCAACTGAATATAAACTAATTATTTTACTCAGATTTCAATCTAAACCCACGTTTTTACTCACCTAACATTGATTTTATAGACGCGGCTGAAATTTCACCAAAATTATTGTGACTTAAATCGAGGCTGGTTAATTCAGAATGTTCCTGTAATTGAAATTTAATATATGAGAATGTAATGATCACGATAATAAACTCCCTCTTCATGGTCTATAGATTAACTCGTTCAACTCACCTCAACACCCTTGGCTAGAATCACACCATCAGTATCAGAAAAACTCACCTCAACACCCTTGGCTAGAATCACACCATCAGTATCAGAAAAACTCACCTCAACACCCTTGGCTAGAATCACACCATCAGTATCAGAAAAATTATTCTCTACAATAAAAAATAGAACGTAACAGATCGAAATATCAATCAAATAACAACTTTGGAATTGAGTATTTATGCTATGGTCTTCGTAGCATTGAATAACCGCAATGTTACAACCTAAAAAGACAGGGAATTCTACACTGTAACATCTGATGTAAACCTGTGACACCAGAAACTTGACTGTAAAATGTGAAGAAACAGATCTTACTTGATATGTTCAGTGTTCGTAATGTCTTGTTGCTCTCTAAAATTCTACAGATTGTTTTAGCACCGTCAGTTCCTAGATTGTTCTCCGCTAAATTCTACAAAAGATTCATAACAAACGACATCAAAGTTACATTATATATTATAAAACAACCAGAATCGTGGATTAAGGATTAACTAATCCATTAATTGATCCGACTAATCTCAACGCTCGTAATCTCGAGTTTAAACCCGGGCAGGGAAACAAAAATCTTATAAAAACACATGGTAACTCGTTTAAAAATACCTACAGTGTTTTAACAAATACACAACTATATCTAGAATGTTAATCTTTCTAACAACACCTACTATATCTAGCATGTTAATCTTTCTAAAAACACTAACTATATCTAGCATGTTAATCTTTCTAAAAACACCAACTATATCTAGCATGTTAATCTTTCTAAAAACACCAACTATATCTAGAATGTTAATCTTTCTAAAAACACCAACTATATCTAGCATGTTAATCTTTCTAAAAACACCAACTATATCTAACATGTTAATCTTTCTAAAAACACCAACTTTATCTAGCATGTTAATCTTTCTAAAAACACCAACTATATCTAACATGTTAATCTTTCTAAAAACACTAACTATATCTAACATGTTAATCTTTCTAAAAACACCAACTATATCTAGCATGTTAATCTTTCTAAAAACACTAACTATATCTAACATGTTGATCTTTCTAAAAACACTAACGATATCTAACATGTTAATCTTTCTAAAAACACTAACTATATCTAGCATGTTAATCTTTCTAAAAACACCAACTTTATCTAACATGTTAATCTTTCTAAAAACACCAACTATATCTAGCATGTTAATCTGATATCTAGCATCAACTTACCAGCTCAGTTATAGACATGTTTTCATCCAACATATTTTCAAGATAGACTAGATCACGTGACATCAGACTGTTACCTTGTAGATTCACAATATTAACAGAATTGTTTATCTGAAAATAAAAAAAACTAGGATTATTTGAGAATTTAGACTTACTTCTTATATCACCAACCCTTAACCAAATAATCTCAATCACAGAATGACATGGGAATTAATACAATCTTTACTATAGACAGACAGGAGAATACTCACAACGAGTGCCATTGAAATCGCCAAACAGTTTTTACTGCCAATTCCATAGAAATTCAGATCCAAGTCGCCTCCAGCGGCGAAACTTTTAATACAGTTGGATATTGGATTGACACCAAATTTCTGGCAGGCTCGAGTATAAGTTCGAAGACCGGTATCGTCATAATTTGGTTTGATTTCTGAAACAGATAAATCTAATTGAAGCCAGGGTTAGAAAATATAAACAGCACAAGTATTTTATAAATTGTAATATTCAACAAACTAGTCTTAAAGACACAGAATCCATTGTAGCAAATTTGATTGTGATTTTTTACAATCGGAAATTTACCCCTGGTATTGAAACATCTCTAAGTCTCCCTCCCCTCGACCACCCCCCTCCCCCCCTCTCCCCCGTCCAAACCTCCTACCCCTAATCATAATGAATTCTACCTGAGATATCGACACATCTCTCAGTCACCGTCCCCCTCCCCCCTCTCCCCCGTCCCCACCTCCTACCCCTAATCATAATGAATTCTACCTGTAATATCTACATTACTTTCCAATTCAGCTGAGTTTATAATATTATCAATTTCGGCGTTCCGTTTCTCCGTCTCCAGCAGTCGAGATTCTGTCATGCATCTTCCAGGCGGAAGTGACGTCATTGTAGTCCGTGATTTAGCACTCTCAAGTTCCAGTTGATCTGGACATTTTGTTTTTTCATCCACAAATGGTTGGTCATTTTCAGGAATGTCTGCGAACTGGTGAATTTGTTCCTCTTCCTCTTCATCTAAGGATGTAATGGTAGAGAGTTTCTGAGTTCTGATTTTCGGCATTGTTTTATTCATATCACACTGATAATATTTAATCTAAGGCTTGGTTTTAACTGATATATTTCTACTTGTATATAACAAAGGTTCAATAGTTCACTCCTTTATTTTTCAACTAAAACCATTTTGGAGGGTGTACATAGGATATAATGTTCGACTGCTTTGCCACTTGGCAGTCATACCAGGAAGTCCTTATAACTAATGACATCTTTGTGACATATATCTAAATAACATAAACTGAATCTATTTTCATTTTCATCCTTTATCCATTTCACTCAGTCACTAATATCGGCCTTCTCTGTATGAACCTAGCCTATTGACAACTACTGTATTTCTAAACTACTTGATCCCGAAATTTAACAATCATTGCCTGTCCTTATCAGCTATTTCTCGCTTCTATTGTTTTCTATAATTCTCCATTTAATACGACAAACAATTACACCATTTTATACCCAATCGTTCAAAACAGATTATTGACTACAGTCGAAATATCCAGCTAGTTTATTACGAAAAGGGATGTGAATATATTTTTGTGGCCTGGCGCATGTTTATCGCCTTCAAACATTACAAATATTACATGTATTCCCTGTCAAAGAGGTCTGTTAATGAATGAAAATCAGACGCATTCCAAGGAATTCTCATCAAAATTGAACAACTACAAATAGATACATGTACTGTGATACCAGATGAAGTATGCCAAGTTAATAGGTTTCACCAATTCACTACTAATTAGATAAAACCATAACCACATAAAATAAAACAACCTGACTGACGCATTACTCATCTTCATTCTACGACCAAAAACACCTTAGAGTTAAATTCTTTCTATACCTGACGATAAAGTTTAGATTGAAGCGGATTAAGACAAGTGTTTTTGTATAACAGTCGGGCGTCAAAAGGTTAATAAGACGGGAAAGATCGATAAGAAATATGTCTGTGGTCGATCAGGTATAATTGAATTGTTATAGAATATTATATCAGTGGTATTCTAACTGTTCTAATTTCCCCAATCCACCATTAGCCTTAAAATCCTCCACACCTCCTAATCCCTACCTTGATTTTGAAAATTTTTAAAATCCTCCACACCTCCTAATCCCTACCTTGATTTTGAAAATTTTTAAAATCCTCCACACCTCCTAATCTCTACCTTGATTTTGAAAATTTTTAAAATCCTCCACACCTCCTAATCCCTACCTTGATTTTGAAAATTTTTAAAATCCTCCACACCTCCTAATCTCTACCTTGATTTTGAAAATTTTTAAAATCCTCCACACCTCCTAATCCCTACCTTGATTTTGAAAATTTTTAAAATCCTCCACACCTCCTAATCCCTACCTTGATTTTGAAAATTTTTAAAATCCTCCACACCTCCTAATCCCTACCTTGATTTTGAAAATTTTTAAAATCCTCCACACCTCCTAATCCCTACCTTGATTATGAAAATTTTTAAAATCCTCCACACCTCCTAATCCCTACCTTGATTTTGAAAATTTTTAAAATCCTCCACACCTCCTAATCCCTACCTTGATTTTGAAAATTTTTAAAATCCTCCACACCTCCTAATCCCTACCTTGATTTTGAAAATTTTTTAAATCCTCCACACCTCCTAATCCCTACCTTGATTTTGAAAATTTTTAAAATCCTCCACACCTCCTAATCCCTACCTTGATTATGAAAATTTTTAAAATCCTCCACACCTCCTAATCCCTACCTTGATTTTGAAAATTTTTAAAATCCTCCACACCCACTCGAAAATTTACCCTATTATATCTGCATTCAACTTTAACCCGAAACTATCATTAGTTATTAAGTAAAAATGTCAGAGCAATTAGAAATAATTACCTTCAATTATATTCTGTTACTCGGTGGAGGTTTTCATATTCGTTGACCAGCAAAGCTACGAGGATGATGTCTGTAAACTTTCTGTACATGTTCATTATAGCCATCTCGCTATCATCAGGTAAAGTTTTAGTTTTGGATTGTTGACGAAATACTTTTCGGTTATTTACACCTTTACTATGTTCAGCCAAAGTTGTGGTTATCTAACTGGTTACTGGTCAACCAGATAAAGTGTTCAGAAAATTATCAAAGCTCACCTAACTCAGTGTGAGATATATTCGTCTTCATCACGAGTATTTGTGTAAAATATCAAAACTCTGTACTGAACTGAAATCAAAGTAACAAAAGCTCATCTCGAAATCTATTTCTCTGTGTAGAGAAATAAACAAATTTGCATTATTGAATTGTACTATATTTTAGTTAGCAGCCAAGATTGTGGGGAGGCGACACAAACAAGAATGGTGAAATGTGCCGAGGATCTGATGGCGGCCGAGACTGCTAGTAGTTTAATATTAGATGACGAACAGAAATGTAGGTAAGTATGGAAACTTGTAATTTTTATTAAACGTTTTTTTGGGTACTATCACACCAATAAGTTAGCTGGTTGTCGTGAGTTGGAAAGGCAAGAAGGATTCTGATTCCAACTCCAGTGCTTATGTAGTCGACAGAATAGTCTCGAACAACTAAATTGAGCTCAGGGTAATCAGATGCAGACATCGTCTACACTCACACAGGACTCCCAGCATCCCTCAGAGGCTGCAGAGAGAAAAGGTATGCTTGTTCACTCACATTCGTCGGTAGACAAAAGACATGTCATCGAATAAAACAGTTTTGTAGAATCAGGGTGAGTCTTTTCATTACTGACTGACTGATAATGTTACATTAGACAACTATTTATATCCATATATTGTAGACGAATGCAGCTTGAATTGAGATGTATGAAAAATATCACAGATCAGTGCCAGAGTTCGACTTCCGGTAGTGATGTTTTCAATAACCTGATGGCAGCGACACCTACAGTGATCGATCTCGTCGATAATAAATGTAAGAATTAAATCTTCGTTCAGTAGTATATGTTTGTATTAAAAGCTATAATATAACGTTGGTAAAATGATAAATATACCAACTAAATATAACGTTGGTAAAACCCCAAAAGCCTACCAACTAAATATTATTAGTTTCGTGGACTCACTACAAGGAGTGCTTAGTTGACAAAATAAATACAAAATAACCATTTGTATATCGTGTTGTATTGTATTGTATATTGTGTGTACAGTATATCAATGAACAGGTATTTCTCTTTATTATAAGGTGGGGAAACTAACCCGTGTGATTATGGCGAGGAATTGTTAGATGAATGTATAGATCTAGCTGTAGGCGGACTGGATGAACAGGGAACACAAAAACAAATGTGCAAGTTGGTCATTTTCTTTTTCAGTGAAATAAAATACACATATTTATATTGTATATAATCTGTTTTTGTTGATCTTTGACTCCTTTTTTCGCATAGGAATAATTCTCCAAGTTGGCTGATTTCCTACAACAAAAGGCCAAATAGCCATGTATCAGGAATTCTTATCTGTTTGTTCATAGTTTAGTTTTTTGGTATCACTCTAGGACTGTGGATGGCCACCTATCCTGTGTCGAGAATGTTATTTACCTGTGTAGAGATGTCGTCAATATGAGGGAGAAAATGGATTGGCTTAACAGAAGACATAGATTCATGCAGTTATGTAAGTAACACATCCATATTTATCATCAACATTATTGAAAATATTACTATATTACTTTATATCTTTATATTCTAGTGCTAGTGTCATTGAGTAAATTCAAGTTGTTGATATTTTTTTCAGGTGGCAGATATTTCAGGAGAGGCAACTATAGAACCAGAATCTGATAATTTCTCTGAATAAAGTCATATTCAATGTCTAAATGTGGTCCTTTATCTTCCATACTTTGTCCACATATGTGAAAAGATGTTCAAACTGTAACAAGCTACCCTTACCTTAATAACCAACTGCAGTAATATATACCAATCATAACTTAAACTAGGCATACAAAAGAGTCCATTAGATTTTTATTTTCAGCACCTAAATATCTTTTGGGAAGAGAGGGAGCTCTTGTTTTATAGATATTTCTAACTTAAATACACTTCAACAAAATTATAGTATTAGTTTTCAATTTAAAAAGAAATAATGTTGAAGTAAGATTACAACATAATTCTATAAAAGGAGACAACTTAGTTTTACATACAAGTAACTAAAGGGAGAGAAAAACAACACAATTTAAATCCATTTGGCATCAAAAAGGAATTAATTTTAATGTATCTTATGGAGTGTGATTTTGAAAGAAATAACCCTAAAAATTATACACTTTTTTTTTACAAATACAATATGTAATCAATAGATAAAGAATAGAGAAGTTTAAGTTTAGTAATGAGACTTCTATATTAAGTATAATTACCTACCTTTATTGAGAAATCGCGTTAAAATCGTTCTTATTTATGCAAATATTAAAAACCGTTAATAGCTTTTTTGATTATTAATAGGGATATATAAAATAGCAATGATACTGTACAATGATAAAGAATATGGGGCGGGTGGAGGGGGGAAAAAAGAATAAAAAGAGTTAGGGGTTTTAGGTTTGGGGTTAGGGTTAGGTTTAGGTTTTGGGTTAGGGTTAGGGTTAGGGTTAGGGTTTTAGGGGTTTAGGTTTTGGGTTAGGGTTAGGGTTAGGGTTAGGGTTTTTTAAGGTTTAGGTTAGGGTTAGGGTTAGGGTTAGGGTTAGGGTTAGGGTTAGGGTTAGGGTTAGGGTTAGGGTTAGGGTTAGGGTTAGGGTTAGGGTTAGGGTTAGGGTTAGGGTTTAGGGTTAGGGTTAG